TAATTGTTGGTCTAAGTCTCATGGACTTTCCTGCCTAGGCTGGTTTTGAACCATGATCCTCAGATCTCAGCCTCCTGAGTAGCTAAGATTACAGGCATGAGCCACCGGTGCTTCACTGACTTCTGTCTCATAAAACATACAAAAATCAACTCAAAAAGAATCAAAGAATCAAGTCTAAGATTTGAAACTATGAAACTACTAGAAGAAAATATAAGAGAACTGCTTCAGAACATTGGTCTAGATCAAGAATTTTTTTTGGAAAATGCTATCAAAATCACAGGGAACAAAAAGCAAAAACTGACAAATGGGATTAAATTAAATTAAAATATTTCTGTACTTAAAAGTAAATCAAAAGAAAGAATAAACACCCTCTAGGGCCAGTGACTGCATTGCCTATAATTCTAGGTATTCAAAAGGTAACGATGGGATGATAGCTGTGCAAAGACAGCCAGCAAATAGTTAGCAAGACCCAATTTCAACAGGTAAACTAGGCATAGCAGTACACGACTGTAATCTAACTACCTGAGAAGCATGAATAAGAGGACTGTGGTCTCAGAAGTGGTGCTGTAGCTCAAGTGGTAGAATGCTAGCCTTGAGCTGAAGAGCTGAGGGACAGTGCTCAGGCCCAGAGTTCAAGCCCCACGACTGACAAAAAAAAAAAAAAAGAAGGAAAGAAAGAAAAGAAAAAGAGAACTGTGGTCTCAGTGTACCCCAGGCAATATTCTGTCTTTAAAAAAAAAAAAAAGGGCTGGGAAGGTGGCTCAGTGGTAGAGCGCTTGCCTTGCATGCCTGAGGCCCTGAGTTCGATTCCTCAGCACCACATAAGCAAAAAGAAAAAAGCCAGAAGTGGCACTGTGGCTCAAGTGGTAGAGCGCTAGCCTTGATCTGAAGAGCTGAGGGACAGCACCCAGGCCCAGAGTTCAAATCCCATGACCGGACCCAAAAAACAAAAACAAAAACAAAAAACTAAAGCAAGAGCTAGAGGCATGTGGTAGACTGCCTAACAAGTGTGAGGCCCTGGGTTCAATCCACACTACTGCCAAAAATATATATATATAACTTAAATAAAAATTTAAATATCTAAAGCAAAAAGGCCCAACGCTTGACTCAAGTAGCAAGAACAAGTACAAGCCCTACATTCAAATCCTAGCAGAGAGACAGAAACAACCTATAGAACCAGAGAAAAACTGACAAACTATTAATCAAAGCATAAATTTCCAGAATCCAATAACTCAACAGTAAAATAATAGTAAGTATTATTATATTATTATAATCTAAGTTTAAAATAAGCAAATGCCCTGAATAGACATTTCCAAAAGAGGATATAAAAATGCATATGGCGACCTGGAAACCAGTGGCTTACACCTGTTATCCTAGCTACTTAGGAGGCCAAGATCTGAGGACTGCAGTTTGAAGCCAGCCTAGGCAGGAAAGTCTATGATACTCTAACTACTAAAAAGCTGGAAGTGAAGCTGTGCCTCAAGCAATAGAGCACAAAAGCTCAAGGTCAATGCTCAGGTTCTGAGTTCAAGCCCCACGACAAAAAAAAAAAAAAAAAAAAAAGCAGATGGCCAAGAAGTACACAAAAAACACTCAAAATCATCTTAATCATCACTAAACATCACATCATCAGAGAAATGCAAGTCAAAAACACAATGAGATATCTTCTCATTCCAGTCAGATGGTTATCATCAAAAAGATGACCAAAAAATGCTACCAAGGATTCAGATTTAAAAAAACTCTCACATACTATCAATGGAATATTCGTATAGCCTTAACAGAAAACAATGTGCAAAACAAAAAGCTAGCATCAAAAAATGAGAAATAGAACTACCATATGACCTAGCAATCTCACTATGTCATGTTTATCTGTACCATTAATAACAGCCAAGAAACAACCTAGGGTCTATAGATGGATAAATGGATAAAGAAAATGTGATATATGTGATACACATATATATCACATACATATACATGACATATATTATCATATGTAATCACACATATATCCCACATATATATTATTATATACATGTATATAACCATACATGTATGTTTACATAAACATACATGTATGTGTATGTGTGTAAATATATATATACACACAATTCTTTCCATAAGAAAGAATGAAATCCTGGGGATATAACATAACTTAAATGATAAGAGTGCTTGGCTAGCAAGCATAAGGCACTAGGTTCAAACCCCAATACTGCCTAAAAAAAAAAAAAATCAATAAAATCTGTCATTTGCAACAACATACATAGAACATAGCATATTATGTTAAGTGAAAAAAGTCAAGCACAAAAAGACAAATACTATATTCTCTCACTTACATGTAGAAGCTAAAAAGTACATTTTGTCAAAGAAGAGTAGAATAATCATTACTAAGTCTGAAGAGGGCATGGGGTGGAAGGGATAACAAATACAGGAGAATACATGGGTAGGCGGAGTAGCTTCTAACATTCTATAGCACACCGGGTAGCTACGGTTAACAACAATTTATTACATATTTCACAATGGACAGCAGAGAAGATTTTGAATGCTTCCAATACAAAAATGGAAAATGAGGCAATAGATATGGCAAATCCAATGACCTGACCATTAAACACTGAATACAAGTACTTAAAATAGCACACCATATACAATTACTATGTGTCAATTAAATATATTTCTCAAAGACTGTGTGATACCAGTCTTAGGTTAGATATATAGAGACCAATGGCATAGAATTGAAAATAAACAGTCTGACATTTTATGTAGTCAATTCATTTTCAACAGGTATCAAGACAATTCAATGGACAAAGGACAGTATTTTCAACAAATTGTGGCAATAACTGGGTACCACAAGCTAAAGAATGAAACTGGACTCCTACCTCTATGTATTCAGAATAATTAACTCCAAATGGATGAAAAACCTAATTGTAGGAGCAATTATAAAACTTCTCAAAGAAGTTTTATAGGCATACATAGGCATACTTCTTTATGACCTTACATTGAATAATCCTCAGACATTAAAAACACCACAAAACAAAACAAAATCAATACATTCAGCTGGGTGTGGTGACTCACACCTCTCTTCTCACCAGGAGGCCCAGACAAGAGGATTGAAAATTGGAGACTAGCCTGGACAACATAGTTAAGACCTCAAAAAAAAAAAAAAAGAGCTTAAAAAATTTTTTGAGGTCTCACTATGTAGCCCAAGCTAACTTGGAAAGATCTTGCTTTCACCTCCCCTAAGAATTGGGATCGTAGGCTTATAGGCATGTATCACCATACTCAGAAACACTTTTATACATCAATGCATACTATCAAGGAAGTAGAAAGACAACCCACAGAACGAATGGGAGAGAGTATTTGCTAATCCTGCCTCTCCTAAGGGTCCAGTACACAGAATACATAAAAGACTTTCAACTCAACAATTTTTAAAAAAATGTTTTTAATGGGTACCTGATTTGAGTATCATCCAAAGAAGATACACAAAATTGCCAGTAAGCACATGAAAACATGCTCAATGACATTAAGAAAATACAAATTAAAGTCACAAGGAAGTATCACTTTACATCCACTGAAATGGTTGTCATTTTTTTTTAAGTGCTAGGAAGAATCAGGAGAAATTAGAACCCTCATGCATTGCTGGTGGTAACATAAAATAGTAGAGCTACTTTGGAAAACAGTGAGGCAGTTCCTCAAAAAAGTTAAGTAGTTACCATGTCCCAACAACTCCATTCCTACATATATGTCCAGGAGAACTGAAAACATTAAGTCCACACAAACACTTGTATGCAAATACTCATAGTAATATTCATGGTAGCCAAAAAAAGTAAAAACAACCTAAACACCTATCAATTGAATGAATAAGCAAAATATAGTACTATTATTATAACAGAATATTATTAGCCATAAAATAGAATGAAGTAGTAATATATGCTATGCCATGGACGAACCTTGAAAAATCTTACGCTGATTAAAAAAAAAAGCCGTACACAAAAGATCTCACATACATAACTCCATTAATATGAAATATATATAACAGTTAAATCTATTCAAACAGAAAGTCGTTTTATATTTACCCAGGAATTAAGGATTACAAGGAAATATAGAATATTTACTTAATGCATAGAGGGTTTTCTTTTAGGGTGATGAAAATGTTCTGAAATTAGTATACTTTTGTATACTCACTGAACTCGTATCTGGATTTCACATTTTAAAAGGGAAAATGTTTACAGAATAAGAATTATATCTTAATAAAAATTTATTTTAAAGAACCATCATACCAATTTTTCTCCCCAATAGTAGTGGCAATGATCCTTTTAAAGCACAAGTTAGCGGATTTAACAACTGGGCTCAGAACACAAACACGTATTCCCTTGGAATAAAGTACAGTCCTTACCTTAACCTTGACAGTTTCAGGTATCTCCTCTTCTGACGTCTTTGCATATTACTTCTCACCCACCTTTCCCTCCCACTGCTGCCACACTGGTCTCACCTGTTGGTTTTCGGTTAGGATGACACTCTTCTGCCTGAGAGTCTCTGTCCTTTTCTTTCGTCTACCTAGAAAGTCTGCTCCCATATATACATATATATATATATGTATATATATATATATATGCAAACCTGGCACCATACCTGATTCAAATATTAACTCAAATGTCACGTTCTGGGTTGTTCTTGTTTTTTATAAAGGCCTTACCTGGCCCCCTAACTTAAAATAGCACCCCTTCATTTTCTTTTCCTCATAAATTTTTTTACAACCTGACACACTGTGTGTTGAGTTCATATGACTCATTTCTGTCCTACTGCACTAGGCTATAAGCACTGAAAAAAATCAAACTCCATTTTGTTCATGGTACAGTGCTAGAATTTAAGCAGTTATCTGCAAATGAGCTGGGTTTCCATCTACTCTATTCCATGAATGAGCAAATGAATTTAACAAAGTATAAAGAAGAGAGGCTCACAACTAAGATCCTCTAAGGTGTCGTCATATTAGTGGAACCTCTCACCTGTTCCAGGTTACTGTACTGCACACGGCAATAGCTGCAATATCCTTGTCTCTTCTGCATCTTGAGTAACCAAAGGCAGGTGGCTACTCTCTTCCAACCCCCAAACTGCAAAAAAAGTGCAACTATTTGAAAGTAGAAAAAAATCAAAATTCCTTACTACTATGAGAAAAATGACTCAAAAGCCCAGTTTTGGGGGTGTTTTTTTGTTTGTTTTCTGAGATAAGGTCTTGCTATGTCGCCCAGACTAACCTTAAGCCCCGAGTCCTCTGTTCTTGGTTTTCTGAATGTGAAGATTAGAGGTGTGCTCCACCACACTCAGCTTCCATCTATTGCTATTTCTTTTTATTGTCCCAGCCTTACTTAGGTCTTGAACTCAGGACTTAATTGCTGACCCTGAGCTCCTTTTGCTCAAGGCTGGCACTCTAACGCTTGAGCCACAGCACCACTTCCAGCTTTCTCTGAGTAGTTTCCTGGACAGAAGAATCTCATGAACTTTCCTGCCTGGGCTGGCTTTGAACCGTGATCCTCTGATCTCAGTCTTCTGAGTAGCTAGGATTATAGGCATGAGCCACCAGCACCCAGCCCACTTAGTCCTATTTCTAATAGTAGTCAGAAAAGTATATAAAGCAGATATGAGACACGGAATTAATCAGCATTTGTGCCAATATCTGAAGACTTAAATGACAAAAATTCTTATCAATTTTCTGACAGCTTACTGACATTAGGAACTGATATAGTAACAAAAAATAAAGTACTTAATTTCTAAAGACAAACTACTTTTTTTTTCACCCTCCGTCATGGGTCTTGAACTCTGGACCTGGGCGCTGTCCCTCAGCTCTTCAGCTCAAGATTAGCTCTCTACCACATGAGCCACAGTGCCACTTCCAGTTTTCTGGTGCTTAACTGGAGATAAGAGTCTAATGGACTTTCCTGCCCGGGCTGGCTTTGAACTGACATCCTCAGATCTCAGCCTGCTGAGTAGCTGGGATTATAGGCATGAGCCATTGGTGCCTGGCTGACAAATTATTTTTTGTGTGTGTCCGTCATGGGTCTTAAACTCAGGGCCTAGATACTGTCCCTGAGGTTTTGTGCTCAAGGATAGCATTCTTCCACTTGAGCAATAGTTCCACTTCTGGCTTTTTGGTGATTAACTGACATATGAGTTTCATGGACATTCCTGCCAGGCTGGTTTTGAATGGTGATCCTCAGATCTCAATCTCCTACACATAGCTAACTAGGATTACAAGCATGACCCTGGCTAAATTACTTTTCTTAAAAATTTATTTTTCATAATATTTAAATAGTTGTACAAAGGGACTTCAATTCAACATGTCAGTTTGTGAGTACAATGCATCTTGACCATTGTCACTAGGGTAGTGTAACAGTATTATTTCCTCTTCTCTTATGGAGTTAATTCTTCCTATGATATTTCTATACAAAACTCAAGATTATTTAAATTTTCCATGTCTAATTCTCTATATGATAGTTCAGATACCTAGGGTAGTTTCTGCTCAGCTCATAAAACAGGCAAATGTTAGGAGAACTTATCTAACCAAGTTAATAAAAATCGCCGCTCAAATGCAAGACCATTCTTTTCTGACAAGTACGTGAATCAAAAATCTATTAGAAAATTTTCCCTGCTAGTGTTTCGAGATATCTTGGCAAATAAATCATTTTCTAGTTTCTATCCATCCTTTACCACTACATCCTGCAGTACTTCCAAACCACACTAAGTGCCAAAAATCACAATTCTCAGTTAATAGACCTGAAAAAGAGCCTAGGAGTGAGAATTTTAAATTCTCCTAAGATAATCTGGATAAACTGGTACTATATTTACTGACATAATGCATGTATATTTATAGTTTAAGTAAAAACTTCACTGTACTGTTCTTGCTGATTTCTTTTCTTCTTTTTTCTCTTTTTTTTTGTGGTTACAAGGCTTAAACTCAGGGCTTGGGTACTGTCCTTGAGCTCTTTGCTCAAGGCTAGTACTCTATCACTTTGAGCCATAGCTCCACTTCCAGTTTTCTGGTGGTTAACTGGAGATAAGAGTCTCACGGACTTTCCAGCCCAGGCTGGGTTTGAACCATAATCCTCAGATCTCAGCCTCCTTACTAGCTAGGATGACAGGCGAGAGCCACCAGCACCGGCTCTTACTGGTTTCTTAAAATTACAGAGCTATAAATAAATAATTTTCTTTTCTTCCTCTAGTACTGGGATTTGAATTCAGGTACTCCTGCTAGACAGACATCAAGACATTCTACCACTTGAGCCATGCCCCAGGCCCTTTTTGCGTTAGTTATTTTTTTCTCCCCCAGAAAGGGTCTTGCTTTTGCCTTGGACTAGCTAAGACTATTCTATGATCCCACTGCCTATATACCTCATACGTAGCCGAGATCCCAGACAGGTACCATCACACCCACCTTGTTTGTTGAGATTCGGAAGAGGTCTCTTGGTGACTTTTTGCCCGGGCTAGCTTCAAACCATAATCCTCTTGATCTCTGCCTCCCAATTCAACTTTAAATTTTAGTTTAAACATTCTTGTCTATTGTAAAATACGTAACAATTTTTCTTTGTGCTTTGAGTATTTGTTTGAAACAAAGTCTCCCTATATATCCCAGGTTGGCCTCAAAATTTCTGAAGTTCCTACCTCAGCCATCCAAGCACTAGTATTACAAGTATATACCATACATACTTGTACCATACCTGCCTCTGTTACGTGAGGTTTTTGTTGTTGTCTTGTGCTGGTACTAGGGCTTCAACTCAGCCTGACACTGTCCTTCAGTTTTTTTGCTAAAGGCTGGCGTTGCTCTACCACTTGAACCACGGCTTCATTTCTGCTTCTTTTTGCTGGTTAATGGGAGACAACAGTCTCATAGACTTATCTGCCCCAGCTGGCTTTGAATAGCGATCCTCAGATCTCAGCCTCCTGAGTAGCTAGAATTACAGGCGTGAGCCACCGGTGCCTGGCAATGAGTACTTCTAAATAAGAGTATTCAGCAGTTAAAAAGCTTCCATTCAAGTTAACATCAATGACTGAAAAATGAAATCACAGCCTTAAAACCAGTAAGATGAGAATACAAAAGCTTCAAGTCAAAATTCCAACATAACATTCACTTACCTATTACTTGCAGTTGAGAACCTTGGTTCTTCCGACTTCTCACACTTACAGGGAAAAGAAGTCAATTAAATCAGCATCTGAAATAATATGAAATTACTTTAAACTCGCCTTTTTTCTATTAATTTTACTTCATTTATTAATCTGAGAGACATAAAATGAAACAAAACTTCTATGTTATACAGATAAGGCAATTTTTAGACTAAGAGACTTCTAAAATTTAAACCTAATTTTTAATCACAATTTTTGCATGGCATGTAATTACATGATGACTATTTTAGTGATTTATTAAAAATATAACTATCAATGACTAAAAGGCAAAATAAAAATGAGTCTGCCATCACGGGCACAAATGAAATACCTATGGCCTTTAAGCATTTTAGCACTATCACCTGTCATGTCCCTCATCTCTCCTGCTGGGACAGTGAGTTATAACAAACCAGCAGCACGCGTTGGTATTTTTAAAAATTCACATGCCTAATTTCTACCTGAAACTTACCAAATCAAATCCCCTTCAAGGTTATTAAGGGAGGCCAGGCAGTGCATGTTATGTACAATGAAAATACTCCTAAGTGTTTCAAAGTTCACCCAATAATACAAGTTATCACTTTTTATGAGTTAGTAAAATTCTTACTATAAAGATCATTTCTTTGGGGTTTGGGACTATATTACTTGGCATAATTGAATAGGTCTTTTTATATAAACTATGAATTCTACTAGAACTCAACTTTTTTTTAAATAAAGTAACAAATGATTTACCTGAAGCAGAAAAGTGCAGGTATTTTATTAGCTGTGTTGAGTCTTGATAAACACCTATAAATTAAAACAAAAAATTTAATTGTTAAATCCCATTACTGAATGCATATTCAACAGACCAAACAAGTATCCCCAAGTCACACTTAAGTTTGAAAAAAAAAGTCATGTTTCCAAATAATACAAAAGAATATTAACTTTTGAACACAAAGTACTTTTATGTATTATCACTCACTGATTGTCAACATGATTTCCTAAGGTATACTGCAATTGGCCTATCACCCCTCTGGGTCACAGGAACAGTAGCTGTAAAAAAATGTAAGGAGCAACTATGCTCCAAAGTTTAGGTTAAGAGCAAAAGTGCTGTCACACCCAAAAATAAGTTCTATGAGAAACTTTACAAGAAATACTAAGTAAAATCTGGATCCCCAACTAATGACTCAACTGTCAGCTACAATATTCATTTTATGGGAAAATACTGTCAATTCGTCATAGTCCATTTATATCAGTGAATGATTAAGCAAAATGACCAATTTTTTTATTCCTCTGCATTGTTGTTGGCAAAGTGTTCATCCTCACTGGTTTAAAAACAATTCCAACACTGAACAAGATGTATTGAACTCATAACTTGACTTAGGGAATTGAATCTCTGTGTACCTACTTAAATTTTTTAATCCAATTCAAAAGAGACAGTGACACAAATAATACAAAATAAAAATCAGTTGTATATTCCACCAGTTGCCATCAACATGTCAAATGTATCTATTAAGCATCTATGCTGTGCACAGTTCTCTGTGCTAGAAGCTTTGGTGGATAGACAAATATGAGACAAGTGTTCTTACCATAAAATCTTAAAAGACCTAGAAAATTAATTCAAGAAAATTAATTCAAGGCTGTAATATGCCTAAACAAAAATAAGTGCAGGAGTAAGGATACGGCTTAGTAGTATAGCTATCGCCTAGCATGCAAGAAGTCCTAAGTTGGATCTCCCTACCTCTGCCAATAAAAAAGAATAAATATAAATAATAATAAACAAATAATACTAATAATATGATAACAGATTCAATTGAAAAATTTAGCTTCAGCAGGAATGGCCAGGGAGGTCAAAAGTCAGTATGGCTTTTAAAGCAAATTTTGGAAAATGGAAAGAAAAGATATTCAAAGGAACAACATAGGTACAAAATCAAAA